TCGCACTTGTTTTCTCTCTTTCTCTCTCTCTCTCTCTGTATATATATATATATATATATATATATATATATATATGTTTGTGTGTGTGTGTGTGATTTGTTGTCTCATTGAACCAGTTTTGCGTGTACTGTATATATATATATACATACAGCACTATATGTTGTCGTATTGTCCATCTCAGCCGGTGCGAACCCCGTTTAAACTCCTTGTTCATACGAGGCGCTGCCTATGACTCGACGTTGGCGGTTTAATCCATATAATTTTTCGATCGCATGGGATCGCGCGGTCATTTTCTAAGGAGTGAAATCAATCTCTGTTATATTTATCAAATCGTATTTTCTGATCAAACTCACTCAGGTCGAACGGATTCACCATACTTGCAGTTGTAGAAGACTTTAATAATGTGGCAGAGCTCCCGTTCCCTCAGTCCTGTCGAGAATCATTCTCGTCCGCAGCACTACTCGTTCGAGTCGTGTATATGTGTGTGCGCACGCGGTTGCTTCACTGTTTGAGTTTTTTATACGATACTCGAGACTGTCGGTGAGTGCCGGAGTGGAAGGTTGAACTTAAAAAAAAGAATGATGAATGAAAATATCGTTCTTCAATAGCTCTTCGAGTTTATTTACTAGTTACTCAAGGTGGTAGCAGCGCATTGGTTTGGTCACTGTTCCCTGCGTTCTTTAGGCCCTGTTGTCCACGGTTTGAACCCCGACTTTGGCGGTAGGCAGCTTTGCTGCTCTGCTCAATACCACGCCTATCCTGGTGGTTCGCCACTTCAAGTCCCAGGGTCGGTATCCATCCCTGAACAGCAGGTCTTCGTGACTATGCGATCCGCCCCGTTTGCTGTCCATCACACAGTCGTATGTAATTTAAAAAAATAACCAGCAGGATGGAATCGTCACAACTGATCATAGACATCATCTGGTCGTACTGCGATACACATTTTCACAGTTTCGGTTTTTACAATCATCTGTATTGCATAGATCTTGGTTTTCGCGACTACCGTCACTTGGTCGAGCAATTACTATACATAGTTAACGTATAATGGTGATTCATGGATATACGAGACATTGAAAATGATGATTCTCTTTAAAAGAAAACACTAATCTGTCTCAGAAAGAGAAAGGCAGTGATTCGCGGAGCATTCTAAAATTTGTAAATAACATGGACATTGTCACGGCAGTTGAACATGTCTACCAGTAAACCATTCCACGGGGTATCGGTTCTCATTGACTTGACTTATTTGTAATCAAGTTCGGTCAAGTTGGTATGTGAATAGATTTATGTACGAAAAATAAGCTCAAATAAAAGTTGTCAACTTCTATGATTTGATGTCGTTTTGTTCTCCCGGCTTTTCTGTTTAGCTGTACTCGTGTTGTATACTCACTATAATAATCTGTGCACTCGCATCGTCTGCTTCTTTTGTGGCACTGGCATTGCCGTTGTTTCACATCATAATTCTGACTCCGCTCCTCATGTTTGTATTGCACGCACCAAAATGGTGTGTTCCCCGTACAAGACCCATGTCGCACACTCTGCACAGCCAACTCCGATTGCAAATCTGGCTGGTTATGCTTGGCCACTGACAAACGAGAATGCGATCGCAACAGTTGCTTCGGCTCCGAGAATGCGTGCCGATCGGTCACCGGACTCATCCTGTTGCGGATCGTGTGACCCGACTGGAAGTTCTCACACCGATCATGATAGAACTGCACCTAGACCCTTGTCCCATTCCAATCATCAGTCCGTACGCACGTCCCTACATCCACCAAACACAGTTCCACGAACAACGCTGTCGCATGTGTCCCGCCTTCTTGCACCTCACTGGGGTCCGTTTACATTTTGTGATTTGCGTACAGAGCCCAGTCTGCTACAGTCCGGATTGAATTGGATAAAACAGCTAGGGTCCCCCTCATCACCCGAGAAGAACCGTGAACAACCCCAGCTGGTCCCTGACTGGGAATGTCTTCGACGTATTAGTCCACTGTTAACTGCATGTAAGTGTTGTATCTAGAGAACTGCATCGGTTTGTCCTTTTTGTTACTTGTCCTCCCCCTCGCTGTACTTCACCTTCGGTGTTGTGTCATTCGGGTTGATCATTGACACTAACGAAATAATCATATCATCTATCTTCTTTGCACACAATATTCATCACTTCGTGCGTGTTTCCCCCTTGCCATCCAAATTGGCTGTCGATGGAACAGTC